ATCATGAATTTACCTACCATTAATTAATTCTTGAATAAAGCCTCTATCATTAAATATAAATCAAAGGAACTAAATCCCAAACCATCATTGCCAAATTCAAAACCAAATTTGACAAAAACACTGAAATTGAACTTCATTTTTTTTCCTAAACTGACATGGGCAAAAGCCTAATCTGTGCCATCAAGTAATGTAAATCACCATTTCTATTCACAGAGAAATAAACAAAACTCACCCATGCTGTAATTAATGTCACCTCTAAAAGTTAAGAAAACTATAATTCTAATCGAGAATTAACATCTAAGTTGATTTGCAACGAGAGCAAGCATGACTGGTAGAAGTTGATTGTGCTCCACATTTGTAACAGAAGGCACATTCACACCTAAAAAATCATTCAAAAGAAGAAAAATGAGTAAACATAAATGAATTCCATGACAAACCCATCATTTTAAAGCAGCAAGCTTTTCTCATTTTAAAAGAACAATATATATATATATATATATATAGCAGCAATCAAATGAAATTGCAACAGAGTTAGCTTAACAAGAGATAAAGTTTCGAACTTTCCACAAAAAATTTAAGCATCCAAGTTTGAACACCAGTTACTAATGATATACTGCTAGGAAAAAAGAAAAAAAAAAGGGGCTGTTTATAGAGAAGAAGAGGAAACCTGCATTTGATGTAATCGCAACCATCTTTCTTTTCCACATAGGATTTGCATTTGGGGCACGGCTGCCACTTCTTCCTCTGGGCGAGGTCCTTCAGCATAGCATCCCCACCCAGTTTTTTCAATTTCTGAAACTTTTTGCAATCAATACCAGAGTGCCAAGCAACCTTGCACTGCACGCAAAACCTTCTGCTGCAGAAGGGACAGGTTGAAACGCTAATTACTACCCCGTTGGTATCGTTAATCAACAGCGCCGAGCAATCATGGTAGGGACAGTAGAATTTCTCCGACCCAATAAACACTGACTCGCACAGAGCATTCCCCCACCGATTAAACTGCTCGTCGGTGAGAATCGGCCGGCAGTACTCCGGTTCCAGAACCCCTTCGCATGCTATCGCCGGGCACCCAATCCTCAAAACGTTATCATCAAGCTTCGCTGTTACATACCCAACTATGCACTCTATACAGTAAAAATGGACACAACCCTTCACGTTGAATGAATCCACAAGTTCCTTTCTCTCGGTACAGATTTCACAAACGAAAGTAGGGTTTTCAGATTTGAATTCAGAAGAACACGACGATCCTCCAAAATCGAAAGGTGGGGATGACTTGGGTGTGAAGAAATATTCTGGGTCATCATCAGATTCATCAGATTGGGGTTTCAAAACAAGCAACTTTCTGAATTTTTGGAAGAAATTGGTGAGCAACTTGCCAGACATCTTCACGACCTTCTTCTGGGGACTACGAAAAACTCTGTTCCTTAGTCGATCCATTGTCTTGTCTGCGACGCTATTGGACCTGGACTTAGTATGGTGAAAGTGACTCTCTGACATGGGAGCACCCACGCAATCGGAAAAAGAAAGAATTGAAAAAAAATTATAACCAAATGGAAAAGAAAAAAAGGATGAACGTGGAGAAACCTTTGTGACTCACCGCCAATACCGACTGTTTTTGACCCATCTGCTCTGCTTCATTTTTATTCCTTAAAAAACCCTATATTTTTTTGCTTCGGAAATTTTCTGTAATTGTTGATAAAATCCCATGTAATTAGGTCTACGAGTTTCTTATCAAAAAGGTTGTCTTTATTTATTTATGAATCATGTCCTCTAAGTTGTGGCATTTTCCGAAAAAGGAGTGTTTGAACTTTGAAGAGTTAGCAATAGCATCACTCATCGTTTTGGCGAATCATGAAAAACAACCCTTCAACTTGTTAATTGGTGGCAGATTAGCTCCTAAACCGATTTCAGTCACCTATAACCCTTTGAACTCCTTAACGGTGGCAAATGAGCCTTTCTTTGACGGATAACATCATTATTCCGTCAAAAACTAACGGTATTTGTGTCTTATTCTGCTCCATTGAGCAATAAACAACGTGGTGTCTATGTCATCTCACTTATTAAATATTTTTATTTTTAATGAAACAAAAAATTTTTAAAATAAGTTTTTTGGGTTTCTCTTTTCTTCTTTTGTTCTAGTTTTCCTATGCATTCCCTAATAAAGACAGCTTGTATGGTACTACTAAAGAAACTTGAATATACCTACTTTTTTTCTAGAATTTGTGAGCACTTTGAACATTAAATTCATTCATTTTATAATTTACAATTAAAACTCACACACACTCTTATTAAATGAGATTTCAAATTGATGAATTATTGATTGTTAACTCTGTGATGCAAATTAAAAATCAAGAAATTAGCTAAGAAATTAGATAATTTTCATTTTTTATCTCCATGATTTGGTTTTAGATCAAGGAAGGGAAAATCATGTATGAGCAAAACTAATTTAATTTTTTTAAATGGTTCTGTTGTTAATTTAAAGATTTATTTTTGAATCTCATTTTTCATTTTTTTTGGTTGATATTGATAAGTTAATTTAATGAGTAGTGAAACATAAGATGAAAAACAAACAAAAATTTAGAATGAATAACATGATATAAGTTAAGTCATTAAATAAATTAATATATATAATATTACATGTTTTAATAAAGTGAAAATAACTAATTATTAAATAATATAAAATTTAATTTTTAATATTTTAAATTATATAACTTATGTTACATTATTAATTTAAATTTTAATCTCATTTATCATTATTTTAATTTAATAGGATTTTTCTAGGTGAATTTTGATAGAGACAATCAATTAATATGAATGGTACATTTTCTAAATTTGAAGCAATGTGTAAATTATTTAGAAAGTAGAATTACTCTTTTTATTTATTTTGAAATAGGTCTCACGTCCCTTGTCACCCAACAAAAAGGCCATGTAATGGCCAACTTAGACGTGTAACCTCACTTTAATGAAGGCTCCGTTAATTGTTGAAGAAATAATTATGTCATCCGTTAAGAAAGGGCTCATTTGCCATTGTTGAAGAATTCAGGGAGCTGCATGCTGCTGAAATCGATTCAGGGGTTAATATGCCACCAATGAACAAGTTGAAGGGTTGTTTGGCATGATTTGCCCTTCATTCTCCTCTCCTTTGTTAATTATATGAAATTAGAATAAGTGATTTTGTGGAGAGAGTAAAAGAGAATTGTCAAATGTCAACTTTATCTACTCTCAGCGTATGTCATTTTGAATTTAAACATATTAATCTTCGTCCTTTTCTTCTATCTATTACTAATTAGTACTATAAAAGATACATATTTTATAGGTTAAGTTATAAATTATAAATATAGATATAGTTTAAGTACCAAAATTGTTAAATTATAATTAATGAAATAACATAGGAGATGGTTTTGTTAATTGCATATTTAAAAATTTTCATATATTGAAGTTTTGGCAATAGTATATTTTAAAAAGTTTACATATTGAGCTGTACTTTTAATATAAATTTTGATATTTGAAATATTTTTTTATTAGTACAAATTACAATTTATTGATATTATAACATAGTACTAAAATAGAAAGTTGCTTTGAATTAAAGTATTTGCAATTTCCATAATGTTATTTTCACAATAAATTTCTAGGAAAATGACACATTCAACTCTATGAAGCTATTTTCACACAAATGCAACCCCACAAATGGTGTTTTCAAATTAAATTCTAAGAGAAGGACAAATTCAACTTTACCAACACGAAGGCTAAGGAAAAAAAAAAAAAACCTCAAGCAACTTCTTCCTTAACGTTTAAAATTGAGCAAGGGAATAAAATCATCTATGGAATCTTTCACGTCCCAGACTCTTTTATCAAAAGCAAGGAAAAGTAGTATTATCAATGAAAACGCTTTATGGCTTTCATATTATACATGTAATTTTTTTTA